GGGCGCGACGTCACGGCGACCCCACGGCAGTGACGTCAGCTCAGGGGTCAGGTTGGGGGGGGAGGGGAAGGCTTCGGGCTTGCTGTTGGGGTGAACCGGGGCCTGGGCGTGAGGTGACCGGCGCCGAGAGGGGGCCTCAGGCCCCATCCTGAGGTCACCGGGGCCGAGATGGGGCCTCAGGCCCCGTCCTGAGGTGACCACCGCCGAGGGGAGGCCCCAGGCCCCGTCCTGAGGTGACTGGGCCTGAGGGGGGATCTCAGGCCTCGTCCTGAGGTGACCGGGACAGTGGGGAGGCCCCGGGCCCCATCCTGAGGTGACCGGGGCCGAGATGGGGCCCCAGGCCCCGTCCTGAGGTGACCAGCGCCGAGGGGAGGCTCCAGGCCCCATCCTGAGGTGGAAGTGGCCGGTTCCCAGCCCAGCGAGATGCCCCTGTCCCTGTCCCGCTGCACCCCAGGGGGACGCAGCCCGGCCTGGCCCTTCGTGCAGGCGTTGGGCCCCGCTGGGACGGGGGTGTCCCTGACCTGCGGCTCTGCCCTTGTGCTCCCCTCGGTGAGGGCCCCTCTGGCCCTTCATTTCATCCGAGGGGGATGTCAGGGGAACGCCTGGTGTTTCCCTGCCTGGCACAGACTCCCTGTCCCGTGAGCTGCGCCCTGTCCTTTGCAGTTGGGCGGTGAGCTCCTGCCTCCCCTTACTGGCAGTTTATCCCGTGTAAATAACCATTGAGGGCCTGGGACTGGCTTAAATCGCCACAGGAGCACCAGGAGCTGCTTTTCAGCATCCCAGGCGTCTCCTCACATCCCCAGTGGTAGCTCCAGCAGTGACCATAAGGATCCCTTTTGCCTCTGCCTGGTGTCTCCACCTCTGGGACGGTGGCTTAAAGGCTCAGCTGCTTGTGGCTCTTCACACAGTGCCCTTTTTTGTCCCAAAAAGGGGGTTTTGGTCACAGTGGGGAGGCAGGGGCAGGCACAGGGGTCTCCCGAGGGGAGCGGGGCAGCCCTCCCAGCCCACCTCATGTGACAGGGACAGGGCGCCATGCGAGCCTGGGCATGGGAAGGGGAAAATGCGGTTGGGAGGAGAGAAATGCTTGTGGCTTGTATCAGGAACAGTGTGGCCAGCAGGACTGGGGCAGTGATGGTCCCCCTGTACTCGGCACTGGTGAGGCCCCACCTCGAGTGCTGTGTTCAGTTTTGGGCCCCTCACGACACGACGGACGCTGAGGCGCTGGAGCGTGTCCAGAGAAGGGCGACGGAGCTGTGAGGGGTCTGGAGCACACGTCTGGTGAGGAGCGGCTGAGGGCCCTGGGGGTGTTCAGCCTGGAGAAGAGGAGCTGAGGGGAGACCTTCTTCTCTCTACAGCTCCCTGAGAGGAGGGGGTAGCGACGGGGGGGCGGTCTCTGCTCCCCAGGAACAGGCGATGGGACAAGAGGGAACAGCCTCAAGTTGCGCCAGGGGAGGTTTAGGGTGGATATTAGGAAAAATTCCTTCATGGAAAGGGCTGTCAAGCACTGGAACGGGCTGCCCAGGGCAGTGATGGAGTCGCAGTCCCTGGAGGTATGTAAAAGGTGTAGATGCGGTGCTGAGGGACACGGGTTAGTGGTGGGCTTGGCAGTGTTAGGCTGATGGTTGAACTTGATGATTTTAAAGGTCTTTTCCAACCTAAGCAATTCTAGGATCCAGACAGGATTGCGGGGCCAGCGGCTCCTCCCAGCACTGGGGCAGCTCGCTGGGAGTCACTCTTCCTCCTCAGCTGCCAACCTGAGGCAAAAACCTGACCCGGGTGGATGTGGGGAGATGAGGAAATCGCCCTGTTTCTGTCCTGTCCACGCAGGGTTTTCTCTCCCATCGGTGCCTCAGATGGTGATTTCCACTGTGGTGTCTCTCCGAGCACCTGCACTGCACTCAGCAAGCGCGCCGGGGCTCTGCGCGTCCCCTCGCCCGCGCGTCCCCCTGCGATGGTGGGCAGGCCGCCCAGCTTTATTTACATCCCCCGACCTTTATTTAAGCTAACTGGTTTCCCCTCCTTTTTATTTCTTTTTCAGATTAACAGCTTGGCTTGCAGAGGACAGTATGTTGTGTCTGGGGAGACTGACACAACCTCCACGCC